CTTTGCACATGGAAGGCTTGAATTATGTGTATATTGAAGACTTACATAAACTTCCTGCAATATAGTTGGAATTGTCATGCACTAACATTTTGCAAAAACATCTCAATCCAATTATAACTAATATTTGCCATGTGCCAAATCGTAAGGGGGATGGAGGGAGGGAGGAGAACCAGAGAAACACATTAAAAAGTGAAGTTGGAAGAGAAGGAAAATTCCAAAATAATTAACTTAAGCTAAACAATTTCCAAAATAACCAAAAGTCTTAATCTTCACATCTTCTTTCACGTTCACATCTTCCACTTGTCTGCCTTATTCAAGTATTTTGGGGGAATATTTAAGGGGAGGAACCTGGTATTCTGATGAGGTTGATAGGAGCTAAAATTCCATCCTTATGCTGGTGGTATCAGTTATTGCTCACTTTTGCTTCCTCAAAATATTTCTTCTGTGTTTGCCCTTCACAACAATGCTATTAAGCACCATCTCTATTGTACCATGCACTCAGATAAATTAACTGCTTCATTTTCAAGAACACAGTTAGTGGAACAGAAACAATAAAGCAGTTCCAGGTACCACGTTCTTGCAGCAAAAGGTAGATTAGATCAAGCCAGAGAGAGATGGAGACACAGCCCCAAAAACTGGAAAATCTGAAAATTTCATGATTGATAAAGTCTATCGCTTAGCAATAAACCGTGTCAGCTAAACACCATTTTTTCTGCATTTTAAATGTGCATTTTGTTACTTAGTGATGCCTAGTGCTAACTTACTGCTGCTCTACTGTCCCAGGACACACATGCTGGTCCACTGAGCTGTGCTGATTTCAATGGAGCAGATCCATCCTGCTGACTAGTAGGTTCTCGCCGCTGAAGCTCAGGAGCCCCGGCACCATGCGGCACGGTGCAGGCCACCTCTGTGCTAGCAAGACAAATGCTTCTAGTTACTTTAAAGATATTGCCTGGAAAATACTAGCAGTGATAACTTCAGACTGACTCTTACTGCTATAGCAAACGAAAGGATTAAAGTTCAACAGCTGTGACAAAAGCCAATGTAAGAATGGACATTTGCAGAACTACACCTCAGGAAGAAATGTGAACAGCTAAAAAGTCCAAGTTTTGACTTATTTTGTAAAAATCTCACATTAGGGCAAGTAACTCACTTCACAACTTACTCTATTTTTATCCTACATAATAATAAAGAATTTTGTGGAAAAAAAAAGCTGTAACAAGAATTATCATTTCCTTACTTTCCATTACCTTTCCAACTCAAGCTCTTTATGCCTATTCCTTCATTTTTAAGGTTCCTTTTTTTGCAGAGTTGTATAGGAGCCATTTGGGGATGTACTTCAGAGGAGGCAAAACCTTACCTTCTACAGGAGGTCTGAATGGACCATACACACCAGATGCAGCAAAGAAAACACACCCAGAAAGCCCTGGAAAGATCCCCAAAGCAATCTCTTAATAAGCTGTACCCTTCATTAACTGAACCCTCCGCTTCCAGTGAGGATGAAACCTTACATCAATTTAAAGTAGAAGTTTCTCTGTTATATTAGAGGAATAAGAAATAATATTATTAAAGTTGGTAATATTAGAAAGCATCTTTACATTCTAAACAAATGTAACAGAAAGGAATTATGCATTTTTTTCCACCTTGAGGGAAAAATAGCCTTAATATTCCCATAACCTGCTTTGCACTTCATGCCAATATGATAGTAATATTCCTATAATACTGGTAGTATTACAAAGTGTAAATTTCCCAGAGTAATATCCCAAGACCATAGCTCCAAAATATTATCTGGTCATGCTGTCTTCTAATACACTTACTCCAAATTCTGTTGCAATCAAACAACAAACTGATTAACTTCCCTAAATGAAAATACTTTTAAGATGAGACATTCAAAGGGTTCAAAAAAAAAAAAAAGAACAACAAAAAAAAAAGACAGGAACAAAGGTTGGGCTAAGTGAAAGAACAAGTAAGACTCAGAACAGTGGCGATTCACTCCCATATCAACTTCCCACGTTTTGGTAAACTCCACAGACTTTTTGGGGAAAGAAAATTCTGTAAAAAAGAACTTGTTACCATTTGTAGGAAAAGTTAAGCTCTCAAGGAGCCTCCTGCTTTTCAGCTGATTCTCAAAGAGCCCAGGGCACAAGAAAGCATCATCTTCTTAGCAAAGAACCAACTATACATATGGGATTATTGTACAGGAAGAATCATACTGAAATAAACTTTAAAATCTGGGTATACATCATTATAGACTAAGGCTGGGTCTAAATCATTATTTTATGTGTAACTGTTGACATTTTTTTCAAACAAAAGCTGGATAATCCAAGCATTATGAGTGTCTTAATGGTATTAGAGCACAAGCTGAAGAGTCAGTGTGTAGCTGTAATCCCATTAATAAGCATAGATCACAACTTTATATAGGAAAAGTACTCCACCTGTACTGGGTATGTGTGAATAAATTATACACCACATTAAAACTAAAAAATCATTCCTACACAAGTCTGGAATGAGCAAAATACCTGCTGCAATCAGATGAGAACACGTGGTCATACAGAAACAGTACTGAAATCAGTTATTAGGCAGTTGAAATCAGACACAATTAAACTCTGCAAGTTTTACAGATTTATATGTTTAAAAGTCTTTTCTCTGCTAATTTAAGATTGGGAAAAAAAAACGTTTTCAAAGAAGGAATGAAATGTAGACAGGCAAAATACACGACCTTTGTAAAAGTGTCATTAAGCTAATGCAGAAACATGAGATCTTAAGAGTCTGGATGTCACATTAGTACGTGTCTTACCAAAGTCCCAGCAATGACAAGTAGGTTATCAAATTAAATTGTTAAAGAAAAATCCAAGCTCAAATAACTACAGTCAAGAGCACTTTTTTCCCTGGCCTGTTTATATTGCCGAAGGACTGGATAGACCCGCAGGAATATATAACCTAACGTCATGCACATGGCACTTCAACAAGTGCTCCCTTCAAAACTGAAGTCTAGTCATGATCAGGTTATATTAACCCTGGAAATGCATGAGGGTCTGGAAGACTGATAGAGGAGGCTGCATGTCCAGATTGCATTCTCCTCCAGCTAAAAGGATGGATTCAGACTCACCAAGATGACACTGCAGGGACATTCCTCATGCCCCTGCACCGTGGGGAGGTTATTTAGCTAGAATAAAAGCAAAGAGGTAGCTATGCTAAACCTGAGCAACATTAATCCGCTCCTGGAGCAGTGCTCACTTCATTCATGGAAGAAATGCACTAAAACTGCTGAAAACCCCATGCTTCATATTTGCTGCAGTGTTTCTGGAGTGCTTTTAAAATGCAGACCTCAACCGGAATGGAAACAACAAAAACTGAATTAAGAGCTTAGGAAACATCTGCATCTTTTAAAGTTGACTCCAATATTATGCTTAAAAAGATGTTTCTCTTTAACCATATATCCTGTGTGGAAAGTGTAATGAGAAATCTTTATGTTCACTGTTAAAAAAGAGAAAGGTTAAAAGTTGCTAACAAAATATCAAAATAAAAAGGAAAATATCAAATACAAACAAAATGCAAATATTAATTCTTAAGTTTCAAATGCACAGATTCTTCAAATTAAAGACAACAAAAAGACCCCATATAATCCATTTAATAAAGAAAATCTTCCTCACTGGCCCTCAGCCAAGTAACAGAAAGACTGCCAGAACAAGTCTTTGCAAAATATAAATTCCTCTATATGACAAAGCCAACCCGATCTCTGCCTTTTGCAGAGCAAGGCACAAACAGCGAAAGCTGAATTATGAAATGCTTAATGCTAATTACTGAAGAGTGTCAACTGAAAAAATAATGAAGTCACCAAGCGCATTTCCATGCCGTAAGCACCTCTGAATGAACTCACGAGCCGTCAAGGTTCCGCTGAAATATAATGCAAGGTTTCCTGTGAAAACCCAGTTCAAAGAAGGGATTTCACTATTCCGTATCGATTTCCATTACTGCTAATTCAAAGAACTCCTGATTCTTTGTTTCTGGGACGTTTAGACAGTACTATCTAATTATATAGTCCATCAACCTAATTCAATTAAATAATAATATAATGATGTGTAAGAAACAACTGAGATATATGCAGACAATTTTAGTAGTACTAATTACATCCTAATTTTTAAAATCCATCATAATGAGCCTTTTTTCTCATTCTCAGAAGGGAGGACAGTATGTGGGTTAATATTTATATTGTGTGTCATATTATCTTACAGAGAAAATCACTGAGTATGAATTAAAACCCAAGTAGGAAGCTCAGCATACAGCCAAGTTTGACTTTAAGTTTAAACTGGAGGGCTTTTTATTTGCTAATAATTCCACAATATCATCATTAAAATTCCAGAATATATTCCAGAAATGCTGCATCCAACTGCATTCCTTACTACTGCATTTTTACAGTAACTACAATCTCTTAAAAAATGCATAAAAAAAAGGAATGTTTCATTACACAGACAGGATATCAAAAGGGATTTTTGCTAGTAAACTGTTTAATACAGTAGTTTATCTTCAAAGCACTTTGCCATACTAACTGCTAAAGCAGTTCAGGACATACTGCAGCACACAGAAAAAACCAGCATTTCTGTAACTGCTAAAATTTACCTTTTGATCAAACAGAGGGGTTATAAATAACCCACCTTCACTTTGCTCCCAAGCTATTTCTATCTCTAAACAGCATAGAGATTTTTTGGACTCAAGAGAAATCAACTAAGATACAGCTTAAAAGATTACAAAAAAGTCAAGCGCATAAGGTCAAAAGGGATTTAGACCAAAATTTCATGTCAGCTCGTACAAGGGAATTTCAGCTAATTTGTTTTTTTAACATGTATTCAACACCAGTATTTGCAATATAACAAAAAGGTCTTACTTCCCATTTCTTCCTGAGGCAGGTATTTCAACTGCTTATACTAAGTAGATAGAGAGTAATGAAAGTATCAGCTGCATTTGTGTTTTAAATATTATTAACAAATACAAACACAAACCTTCTCTTTTGGGCTTCAGAATCTCTCCTTGCTCGTTCTAGTGCCAATTCTTCAGCTATTCTCTTCTTAAGCTCTTCTTCATTAACTACAATTAAAATAAAATTATAGGAAAAGTTAAAAGAACACAACATGTTTCTAATTACAAAAAAAAACGCAAAATAGTGTTCTATTTCATTAATTTTCTTATTTCTATAAAACAGTTGAGTACCTTTTTGTGGTTTAAACACCCATCAAAAGTTGATATATAACACTATAAAACTTTCAAAAATTACTCCTATTATGTTTTCAAAGTTTCTTTCAAAAATAAAAAAAACACAGAACATATATCAAATCAAATACATTCTCCATTTAATAAAGCTACCTTTATAAATGAAAATCTGGAAACCTGGAAACTCAATAACGAGGTCTCAAACTACTACTATTTATTTATATGGAATTGATGGAGATGTGCTCTCATATATTGCTTCAAGTTTTTTCATATGCATGTTTTAGTCCTCACAACAGAGCATTTACAGCACTGTAGCTACGGATACTTTTAGTTTCTACGTCTTAGAGAAAGCTTTTGTTTCCCTTAATTTCTCCTAACTTCACTTGAGCAAGCAGACGTGCAGAGAGTCTTTCCTTCACTGAGGCCACTTCAGCTGCATCAGCCTGGTTAGGAGCTGAGAAAGGAGGAAAGCAAAGAAATTCTCTTCCAAACTAGGAATAAAACTTCTCCACGCAAGTAGAGGAAAGCATGAGACCTGCTGGTTCTACAAGTTTGAAAGACATTAGTGCAACTGTCAAAAGCCATTTGATAAGATTCTCAAAGACACATAAAAGGTCCATCCCAACCCATTTTGACATTCAAGCAGTTGGTCAGACAACCTACTAATCCACGGATCCTGCTCGACATTAAGTAATTTTCGGCATTTACAGGCAGTTGTTTTTGAAAAAAAATACGACTCAAGGAGATGAGAAACACTGCTATTGCTTCCTTTGAAGTATATTTCATTGCTGCAACTTCTATTAATGACTTCCCTGAGAAACCACACTGAGAGGTTGCTTCAGTCTGAAAAAAGATAGTTTTGCCTATTTCTACATCCATCCACCTGCAACTTGACATATACACAACAGCAATTAAACAGGGGGAGAAATCCAGTATGCAAGAGCACTACTTTCCATTCTAGGAAAACATATTGGGTTAGGAACCCAAATAATGCAACTTGGGTGGAACAGCTAGAGCTTTACATAAAGGGTTGATTTGTAGCAGTCAGAAAGGAGGATTTGGTTTAGGAGAAGCCTCCTAAACCTCCTGAAGTGCAAGGCTGTAGGACGAGATTAAAATCAAGTCATTCTAGCCAGGTTTCTTGCCAGGAAAAATGTCCATTTAGCTCCAGCTCACACCAGCCAAGCTGGACCACACCAACTCCAGGGTATTCTGGTATTGCAGTGACAGAGGGATTCCTTCCTTGGATGCAGCAGTTGGCTTTAGCATCTCTCACAAATTCTACTGTATACTGCTATAAAGGCACCTAATCAAACTCCCAACTAATTAATGGGCATCACTTAAGCAGAAAACAGACATTAAATGCACACAGGTGAGGCAACCCCCTCCTTTGCACTCAGAAGCACGAGCAAAAACACTTGTTTTGGTAACTAAAAAAACCCCCAAAACTACCTTTTCAGGCAATTTAAGACAACAGGCAATTAAAAATAAGCAGTCACCCCAGTCCTCCCATTTGTGCTGGGTATTTATGCACAGAGAGAGCAATAAACAACCATCAGCAGCCAGATGCTTGTGGAGGCCCCGGCGCAGGACAGGGCTGTGAGCCTCTGTTCTCAGAGCAAATACACTTAAAGTGCCCCAAAAGTGGCACCTCTGGCATTTACATGTCCTTGCACAGAAGGCCTGGAGGATTTGAGTCCATGTAGCTCGTATTCCAGCGAAGATCACTCCAGCTTGGTCTCCAAAACAGGAACGTGTTTAGAAGTGCAGCTCTCATCCATCTCCCCCCACAGCTCAGCGCGCGTCACGAGCCAAAACGGGAGCAGTTCTGCATTTGCACACTTAGAAATTATTAGGCTGTCACAAAGCCCCGGAATTTATTTCAGATGGCAGCTACTTTACAGAACAACCTGAACATCGCTGCAATTCCGTTCAAGCCAGATACTTCAATATTCCATATCCTTTCAATGCTGTGCCTGAGAATACACCAAATATTGCCTAAATACATTGTTTACCACCATTTATCTTGTGATGTTTATTGTTCTGCTGTGCAAAAATGAGTAAAAAATGTCTAGCGGACCATTGCATGACCCTTTAAGATGTAATAAGATGTAAAATTCAGGCATCAGCCAATAAAGACACAGAACATTCGACCTTAACAATCAATTAGGTTACACATCGATCAGCCCAATACTAATAGGGAATAAAAGCAGAGCTATAGATCATCCAATAGAATTATTGTAAGATATAATTGGGTAGCTCCCAAATGAGAAATTTATGAGGTTTCAGTAAAAACTGCAATTGTACGAGCACGGGGGAATTGTTCTAGGAGAAGAGGCACATAAGAAAAGTTAATTTATTAGAAAAATCAGAATTGTTTCTAGGCAAAAGCAATAAAAATCTCCTGTGACAGCAATCTCAAGTCAGACTATATGACATTAAAAATAGACACCTAACAACAGCTATTAGAGAATGTTAGAAGAAGGTAGGCACAGAATAAGCAGGATCTGGAGACAGTAAATATATAGTAGTAGCCAAAATTATTTACCCATCTCCATCCCTCTCACTATTTCAACTTCTTCGAGATCCTGAAATCAGTAGGAAACACATTTTAAGTGCGTGCCAGGGCACACAAACTTGGAAGATTTTCTGGTAACTTATTATTTAGGAAGGTCCCCCCTCGCATCCCAGGGCTTCAATATGTTCCCTCTAAAAGGGCCTAAAGTGAAGGCCACGTTCCTGCTTCCCGAGTGTGAATGGCCTAATGTACAGTTCATATTGCAAGCCAATTTAGAGAGATGGGCAGTAATGGGAACTGTACTGAAAAAGCCCCCGTGCAGTAACCAGGAATCACTCTGCTCTCTTGGCATGTGAAGTGGGGATCCTGACGGGCGTCTGATGAGCATTATTCTCCTCGGGATAATGGAGACGGAGCAGGAACAGCAGCACGGCCGGACCTAGCAGCAGGGGCGCAGGATTAAAGGGACCAGAGCGCTCCATGGAACAGCACTGCACACTCAATATATATTTTTGTGCATCTATTTTTATGCACAAATATATATTTTTGCCCACTTCTTTGGGAAAGTCTGAAAGATACGATCATTTATGTCCAGTATTACAGCACAAATGCATCAGGCGTTTCCTGCCCAAAAACCACTTTAAGAAAAATTCACCAAATCGTATTTAATCCAGACACTTTAGGAGACATTTACATGTCCTTGAAGGACAAGATAGTATGTATGCTCTGTCAGCTGGGGCAAGGGGCTTCTTTCACCTTTAAAGCAAAGCACTAGAGCACAGTCAGAACAGGACAAGAAGTGCGAAGATGAGGCAAGAAGAAACCCAAAGTTCTTTCCAACACACATCCATTGGCCAAAATACATCTACAGCCATTTCCACTGGAAGGATGACAGGCAACTTCCAAAATAATACCTAATAATAATAAAGCTGCAGAACATTTACTCAACTTTGTTATCAAATCATTTCAGGCACCCATACGTCTTACAGGTGGGCGCAGAACAGGCAAAGGGAGACACTGGCTCTCAGGGTACCTTGCAATATAATTTATTTTTATTTTTTTTAAGAAAGCAAATCAAATTGCAGGTATGAGAGCATAACAGCATTCTCCCCTTTGCCACATTGCAACACTTTTTCATTGATCCTTTCTCCAAGATTTTTATTCATCCAATGCTCTTTTGGAAAACTGAACAGAGAGTTAACTCTTCCACCATCCCAAAAAGAGTCCCTAGAAAGACGGTTTTGGGGACCATTCTCACAGAAACAGCCCTCATCTGGACGACAGAAAACAGCGAGAAGCACTGGTCTCAGTAACAATAAAAAACACATTGTACAAAGTCATTTGTTTAACCCTTAGTATTGATTCTCCACTCGTGCTTCAAAATCAGATGATTAAGAAAACATACACTTGATGACTTTCCCAGGGCCCAAAAGGCTTTGAATAATTATGAGGGCAAATCGATGAGGACTGAGGCGAGAAGGGTCCCCAAGAGCTTACACATCCTCCTGACTGCTACGGAGGGGGCAGCCCTATAATCCACATTTTCTCCTGCGATGGTGAACAGCCATCCACGAGCACGATGAGCGCCAAGATAATCGGTTCACGAGATGACAACAATTCTTGAGAAGTCGATAGCAATCTTATCTCCTAGGTGCACTCCGAGACATATGAAGGATTAGGAAAAAAAGCTTTTCGTAATTAGTAACAATAACAAAGAAAAACACAGAAAAAGTCAGTATTTAATTTTCCCATTCAAGTGGTTATGTGTATGCCATATTTATCAGTTTACATAATCCCTTGCTAAGGTACTTTCCCATAGAGATTTCATAAATAAAAATTCTGCATTGTATTCTTCACATTCCCTTGTCCACCCAAGGACGCAAACATTTGCCCCACGTCCCCATAAAGCTGCTCATTCCTCTCCTCTCATCACAACTCTTATTGCAAGCAGCCAACCCTCTCGCTATAGCAGTGGATGAGTAAGGATAAATCCAGCTTGGTGACCTCCCATAAGACCTTTTTCCACTTTTTCCTGCCCTTGCTGTCCGCACTAGCCTCAGCATCTAAATGCACAACATTTTCTTCACTCTGAAGCTGCTGTTTTCTAGAAAAAAAAAAAAGTGACACTAAAATTATAGCAAGAGGCAGCCCCCAAAGCTGCAAACACCACACATTAGGTAAAAATTAGTGAGATAACCTTTAGCCTGCACAGCTAGCAATCTGTCTATTAGTCTTGCAATTGCAAAAAATTCATTAATGGAAAGCACATTTATTACCAGATATCTTAACTAAAACCTCTTGAAAGGGCAGGTGCATTAAGTTATTAATGAAAAGGCACTTACGTTTGATACAATCAAAC